CTATCTGATTTACTGCTGATAACACCTTTCTACCCCTCTAAAAATGTAAACAAAAAAAAAAAAAAAAAAAAAAAAAAAAAAAAAACAGTATTATAGAAAATACATGTAAAAGTTAATTTTTCTTTAAAGGCAATGAAATACTGCTTTGCTTCAACAGCGAATTAAAGACAAAATCAAATAAGAAACCCAAATGCAACGGTGTGCAGCATCAAACAAACAATATCCTTTATTTTCTATCACCACATGATTAACCAATATATGATTGACATTCAGTTTTATTAGTCGGGCATATTCGAGGACGCTTCTGCAGCACATGAATGAACGGACGTCTCTCTCTAGTGACTGATGCACCGATTAAAGACATTTTATTACTCCATTAAAACATACATTAGAAAATAATAGTACATCTAAAAAGCTAACATTATATACAAAGACTTAAATATTTAATCACAGTTCAGTGAAGTAAATAAGACCTTAGACCCCCCCCAAACCACATCACCGGTTATTATTACAGTGTCCGAACATCTCCTGTGAGGCGTACGTCATGTAGAGGAAGCCGTCTTCATCTCTATGGTCTTTATAGAGCTGAGCCATGGTCAGAGACATGCTGGCGATGCCAGAGTTATTGATCAGCAGGTAGAAAGCTTGAGTGGGCATCAGGGTCATTCGATTCCTGAGAAACCAGATCAGACATGAGGAAAAGCCACAGCGTGAGAAAGCGCTTAAATCCAGCCAGGTGACGATCAGCTGACGCCTCGAGCACCTCGGCGGAGTCTCAGGGCTGTTCACTGGAGCTTACTACCAATACTAGTGCAGTGCGAGAAATGCATGAAGCACACAGAACCAGTATTATATGCTCCATCATCTACTAATTCTGCATGCATATAGTGCGCAGATCTATAAAAAGAGTCACATTCATAAATGATATGCACTAATATTATGACATTCTATGAACGTGAAATTATATTTAAAAAATGCGAATGATTAAAACGTGTTCCACATTCATCGAATACAATACAAAGTCATTGTATTAATATTTGTTTTAGGAACATGAAAATATTCAAGTTTCACATTCACAAATTATATGCACTACTAATTTATGACATTCCATGAATATGAAATTATATTAATCTACACATTTTTTAAACATGCATAGAATTTTAATACAATAAAACTTATATTTGTGTTATAATTGAACTATTCATATTTATTTCTATGAATGTGAAAAGCTACACTACATTATAGATTCTCACATTAAGTGCCACAATCATAGAACCTTAATACAATAAAAGCATTTAATTTTTATTATCACTAAATATATAATTTAATCATGTAAAAACGTTATATTAAATTTTCACATCCATAAAAACAATTCCACTTGCATTTAATCATTTTATGAATGAAACTTAAAACCATTTACATTTTTAAATTGCATTTAATTTATGAATGAAACTAGTATGGTGTGTGTGTGTGTGTGTGTGTATGTATATACACATTAAAAGTACTGCACATATATTAGTGAAGTTTAACATTCATAAAGTGTCAAATTAAATAAAAAAATAAAAAATAAAAAAAAAGTTTTACATTCACACCCCTTTAAGAAAATGAGCACTAAAGTTAGTTTAGACAGTCAGATGAGAGTGTATCTGAAGCCTCCTCACACAGATTAGAAGACAGACCTGATGATGCTCACGAACTGACTCATGGTGAGCTCCTGAGGCACGAGGAACTTGGTCTTATCCAGCGGCGGCAGGTGCTTCTCTCTCTGATATCTCTCGATTATCACCTGCAACACACTCTCATTAACGCACACCGCCGGTAAGAGACGAGTTGAACTCAGAACCGGCGCTCCTTACCGGGATCTTAGTCGGAAACTTAGTTCGGATTCCCACCACCTCTTGCTTCCTCGTAGCTGATCGGTGATCAATATCACACACACACACACACACACACACACACACACACACAAAAGTAAAGTAAAGACAACTTTTGCATTTCACAGCATGCCATCAGAGAGCCTCGTGCATTATTTAAAGACACATACCTAAACTCTTCCTCTGTTTGAAAGGTTTGGGACGCTGGGTTTTCTCCAGTGGAGGCATGCTGTGTCGCACCTCTGACCCGCGCGCGCTAATTACTCGTGAAGCTTGCACTAATTAAATACTGCGCCTGCCGTGACGTCACGCTGCGTACGCTGCCTACGTCACGATGTAATAATAATGAGCTCAACAGTTCAAAATAAAATGCGTGACGGCTTTTTTATTTTAGTATTTAATGTGTTTTTGTCTACACATACTAACCGCTATAGATCATTAGTATGCAGATTTCTACAATGTCGCACTGTGTTGTTCACGGGTTTCACCTTCTTAGAAATAATAATAGACACATGCGTGTTTAAAACAGAGGTTTGTATTGTTGTGTTTTATAACAGTTCGTGCATGAATCCGTTGTGAAATCATGACACAAGCATTTGCTTGACTATTTATTATGTTGATGCATGCATAACCTGCGTTCTTTTATTAACTACTGTACTGTTGCCATTTACATATTACTTCTTTTTGTGGTTATAAAATTGTTTATTATCAAAATTATTGATTTACATGTATTCATTTATCAAAACCGGTCATTTCGTTAGTCTTGAAGTGCTGTTTTACTTAGACAGCTGATGTGGTGTTTTTGGATGATTGCTAACAGCTAGTCAAAGAATAAACAATAACTCGGAATGAGAACGTTTTGGACGAAAAAAGGATAAAACGCATCCGAACTACAAGTCCCAGGATGCTCAGCGCACTCGCGTCTGATTGGCCGTTCACATTACGAGTTGTTCGTTCTGTCCAATCAGAGCGTTTCGTGCTAGCAGCGATCTGTTGAACTGCTTGTGGGCGTAAACATGAGCGGAAACCAGCTTTGAGAACGATTCATTTGACCGAATAGGTTCGTTCGAACGAGTCGATTCTTTAAAGGCTTCATTGAGACCTTGATAAATGTTTTAATATTTTACGTTTACTATATTTAAGGTATTTAGTGGAAGTAATTTTATCCAAAGTTTATTATATATATATTTTTCAACTTACTATATATATATTTCATTTTTTTTTCTATTATTTGGTTTATTTATATCTAAATACATCTTATTTTTTATTATCTGTGTGTTGTTGTTGTTGTTGTTGTTGTTTTCTCTATGTACTGTGACAGTAAAACAAAGCTCTTTCTGACTTCTGACAAAGTTATGTTTTTGATAAATACATTTCTTACCTGCTCAAAAATATTGCTGAATGTTGTTGTTGTTTTTTCAACATTACACCTTACAGTTTTGCGTATTAACTGACAACACACAAGCAATAAACAACATTTTCTCATTCTTATATAAATATTATAGACAGTTTTTGAGACTACACAGAATACTGCAAGCGTTAAAAAATAAGCCATTATATTCTAAAATCATTAAAATATATTTTTGTTACTTCAGATTAAATAAACATTAACTGAAATAAAAATATATATAAATATAGGCCTATACTTATTTTATTTCAGTTAGTTGCCAAAGCAACATTTTTCATTTTCATTTAGTTTATCTTGATGTACTAAAATAACAACATTTAAATAAAATGTATAAAAAAAGCTATACAATTATTAAAACTTTAACTGAAATTAAAATGAAAAGGAAAATATAAAAATAAAAATCTTTTTTTGAGATATTAATATTTTTTATACTTATATTTATATTTTATTATGTGTGTTTTATTTTATTTTTATATAATAATTCAATAAAACACACATAATAAAATATTAATATAAGTATAAAAAATATTAATATCTCAAAAATACTGAAAGGAACACTGTAACTATACAAAGTGATTCAAAACATGGTGAAAAACATCTCAGAATATGAGAATTATATATACACATAAATGATTTTCAATGCAATTAAAATAAATTGTGATATAAATACAAAAGTGAAATAGCCTAGATCACTAAAAATAATATTTTAGTCACTAAAATATATGCTTTTTTACATCTTATACATCTATTACGATTCGAGCTAAACAATTGAAACGTCCTATATTATGGACGGCCAAATTACTAAAAATTAAATCATGAAATAAATGTTGAAATAAATAAATAAATCGTTAAATAAAAATTTAATAAAATAAAAAAAAATCATAAATATTTAATTATTAATTAATTT